AGAGTTCTGCCCACTCATGTCACTGCTGTGGTCAAGAGTTCTGCCCACTCATGTCACTGCTGTGGTCAAGAGTTCTGCCCACTCATGTCACTGATTACTCCATCCCTATGAATTTCTTCTTTTTTTATGCTTTGATCTGTCAAGGTCAATGCCTGAAAAAAAAAAATTACCTTCAAGCTCAAGAAGATGTACTGCAGATCTTTATTTCCTCAAGAGTTGAATCCCAAGATTTTACATAGGTGAAAACATTATTTACAATACATCAATTGGGTTACTTGACTATATACAATGAAATTATGTTATACAGTGCTATGAATGAAAAATTCACAGTCTACATATTGTGTGCAGTAAGGTATAAGTGTCTAGTATAGATATACATAAGGTATTTCTTCAAATTCCATATAAAGTGGCAGAAAGACAGTATGATGCTTTGACAAGTATAATCAATTTCGTCAGTCAAGTCATGAACATCTGCACTGATAAAGAATGAAAGTATATCATTGTCGTCAAGCATATCTATTTTAACATATACATCAACATCAAGTTTATCAATTAGACATGAGAAGAAATGATTTCTGTCAGGCATAAAAAATTCACAGTGTAAAATAATATGGCAATCATAGTCATAGCAATGCTTATTAGAATTGTTACATTCTTTCGATCTGATTTTAATACAAAGTTGAAGGGGTTGTCTTAAATGTGTATAGAGATGCATTACATTATAAAGAACATGCATTTGTAACCGTTTATGAATTTTATGGTACCATGAAAGATCTGGTCTCTGTGCTGGTCTCTCTTTATCAGTGTTATTCATAAAGTATGTTTGCCATTTTCACTAAAATGCCTTTCTCGTAGATATATTTGTAGGTTTCATGCATGTGGTATTATATTATGTCAATAGTTAAGTAAATGTCATGACAAACCTAAGGCAGCAGAATTAGGTCAAAGTCACCTAATTTCAGACATGCAGAAGAGCGTATGTTCCTAGTCCAGTGTCTGAACAGCATATGTTCCAAGTTCAGTACCTCTGTAATATAGAGAAGCCATTACAACCATGGAGTACAGTATATGTTCCTAGTTCAGTGTCTACCTCTGTAATATAGAGAAGCCATAACAACCATGGAGTACAGTGTATGTTCCTAGTTCAGTGTCTACCTCTGTAATATAGAGAAGCCATTACATTCATGGAGTACAGTGTATGTTCCTATTTCAGTGTCTGCCTCTGTAATATAGAGAAGCCATTACAGACAGAGAGTACAGTGTATGTTCCTAGTTCAGTGTCTACCTCTGTAATATAGAGAAGCCATTACAGACAGAGAGTACAGGGTATGTTCCTAGTTCAGTGTCTGCCTCTGTAATATAGAGAAGCCACTACAGTCCTGGAGTACAGTGTATGTTCCTATTTCAGTGTCTACCTCTGTAATATAGAGAAGCCACTACAGTCCTGGAGTACAGTGTATGTTCCTAGTTCAGTGTCTACCTCTGTAATATAGAGAAGCCACTACAGTCCTGGAGTACAGTGTATGTTCCTAGTTCAGTGTCTACCTCTGTAATATAGAGAAGCCACTACAGTCCTGGAGTACAGTGTATGTTCCTAGTTCAGTGTCTGCCTCTCTAATATAGAGAAGCCACTACAGTCCTGGAGTACAGTGTATGTTCCAAGTTCAGTACCTCTGTAATATAGAGAAGCCACTACAGTCCTGGAGTACAGTGTATGTTCCTAGTTCAGTGTCTACCTCTGTAATATAGAGAAGCCACTACAGTCCTGGAGTACAGTGTATGTTCCTAGTTCAGTGTCTGCCTCTGTAATATAGAGAAGCCATTACAGACAGAGAGTACAGTGTATGTTCCTTGTTCAGTGTCTACCTCTGTAATATAGAGAAGCCATTACAGACAGAGAGTACAGTGTATGTTCCTAGTTCAGTGTCTACCTCTGTAATATAGAGAAGCCATTACAGACAGAGAGTACAGTGTATGTTCCTAGTTCAGTGTCTACCTCTGTAATATAGAGAAGCCACTACAGTCCTGGAGTACAGTGTATGTTCCTAGTTCAGTGTCTACCTCTGTAATATAGAGAAGCCACTACAGTCCTGGAGTACAGTGTATGTTCCTAGTTCAGTGTCTGCCTCTGTAATATAGAGAAGCCACTACAGTCCTGGAGTACAGTGTATGTTCCTAGTTCAGTGTCTACCTCTGTAATATAGAGAAGCCATTACAGACAGACACACTAGTTCAGTGTCTACCTCTGTAATATAGAGAAGCCATTACAGTCCTCGAGTACAGTGTATGTTCCTAGTTCAGTGTCTACCTCTGTAATATAGAGAAGCCATTACAGACAGACACACTAGTTCAGTGTCTACCTCTGTAATATAGAGAAGCCATTACAGTCCTGGAGTACAGTGTATGTTCCTAGTTCAGTGTCTGCCTCTGTAATATAGAGAAGCCACTACAGTCCTGGAGTACAGTGTATGTTCCTAGTTCAGTGTCTGCCTCTGTAATATAGAGAAGCCATTACAGACAGACACACTAGTTCAGTGTCTACCTCTGTAATATAGAGAAGCCATTACAGTCCTGGAGTACAGTGTATGTTCCTAGTTCAGTGTCTGCCTCTGTAATATAGAGAAGCCACTACAGTCCTGGAGTACAGTGTATGTTCCTAGTTCAGTGTCTGCCTCTGTGATATAGAGAAGCCATTACATTCATGGAGTACAGTGTATTTTCCTTGTTCAGTGTCTACCTCTGTAATATAGAGAAGCCATTACAGACAGACACACTAGTTCAGTGTCTACCTCTGTAATATAGAGAAGCCATTACAGTCATGGAGTACAGTGTATGTTCCTAGTTCAGTGTCTGCCTCTGTAATACAGAGAAGCCATTACAGTCCTGGAGTACAGTGTATGTTCCAAGTTCAGTACGTCTGTAATATAGAGAAGCCATTACAGACAGAGAGTACAGTGTATGTTCCTAGTTCAGTGTCTACCTCTGTAATATAGAGAAGCCATTACAGTCCTGGAGTACAGTGTATGTTCCTAGTTAAGTGTCTGCCTCTGTAATATAGAGAAGCCATTACAGACAGAGTGTACAGTATATGTTCCTAGTTCAGTACCTCTGTAATATAGAGAAGCCATTACAGACAGACACACTAGTTCAGTGTCTACCTCTGTAATATAGAGAAGCCACTACAGTCCTGGAGTACAGTGTATGTTCCTAGTTCAGTGTCTACCTCTCTAATATAGAGAAGCCATTACAGACAGACACACTAGTTCAGTGTCTACCTCTGTAATAGAGAGAAGCCACTACAGTCCTGGAGTACAGTGTATGTTCCTAGTTCAGTGTCTGCCTCTGTAATACAGAGAAGCCATTACAGTCCTGGAGTACAGTGTATGTTCCTAGTTCAGTGTCTGCCTCTGTAATATAGAGAAGCCATTACAGTCCTGGAGTACAGTGTATGTTCCTAGTTCAGTACGTCTGTAATATAGAGAAGCCATTACAGACAGAGAGTACAGTGTATGTTCCTAGTTCAGTGTCTGCCTCTGTAATACAGAGAAGCCATTACAGTCCTGGAGTACAGTGTATGTTCCTAGTTCAGTGTCTGCCTCTGTAATATAGAGAAGCCACTACAGTCCTGGAGTACAGTGTATGTTCCTAGTTCAGTGTCTGCCTCTGTAATATAGAGAAGCCATTACAGTCCTGGAGTACAGTGTATGTTCCAAGTTCAGTACGTCTGTAATATAGAGAAGCCATTACAGACAGAGAGTACGGTGTATGTTCCTAGTTCAGTGTCTACCTCTGTAATATAGAGAAGCCATTACAGTCCTGGAGTACAGTGTATGTTCCTAGTTCAGTGTCTGCCTCTGTAATATAGAGAAGCCACTACAGTCCTGGAGTACAGTGTATGTTCCTAGTTCAGTGTCTACCTCTGTAATATAGAGAAGCCATTACAGTCCTGGAGTACAGTGTATGTTCCTAGTTCAGTGTCTACCTCTGTAATATAGAGAAGCCATTACAGACAGAGAGTACAGTGTATGTTCCTTGTTCAGTGTCTACCTCTCTAATATAGAGAAGCCATTACAGTCCTGGAGTACAGTGTATGTTCCTAGTTCAGTGTCTGCCTCTGTAATATAGAGAAGCCACTACAGTCCTGGAGTACAGTGTATCTACCCCTGATCTTCACGGGATATATTGGGTTAAGTTTTTATTAAAGTATCCATGGAGCTCATGCACAGGCAGGTTATTTCGTTTGTTGGTTCACTGACCCTAGACAATTGGAAATTGGACCAAAGTAATTGTCTTTAGCATTTTTCAATAACTGTCAAGCATTATTAGTTGACATTTTTGTTGAGTTTGTTGAGTTTGACATTAATTGTATCTGTACCATTTTTATCATTTCTGTCACATTTTACTTTGAAAAACAAACACAGCCAAATGAAAAATAGAGAGTTCCCATCCAAATGATTATTTAAAAAAAATGAAGGGTCTAAATTTATATTTTATCTACCACTGACTTAAGGCTTTGAGAAGAAAATTGTGAAATGAACTTATTTTAAAAGGTCTCATACAGTTTTCATATATCATCTAGTTACTGAAATGAGTTTCTATTAGTGATTGCTGCAATTACTTAGTAACCTGGCTTCATTACGTATTTGATGGTGGCTGTAGAAGCTTTGATAACATGCATATGCTCAATTAATATGCTCTGAGCACACATATTTCTCAGAGTGTGTACAAGTATCAATCATCATACCATAAATTGCTGGAACAATAATTGATACATGTACATAAGTAAATAATATGGTTTGTGTTTGAGTATATTGTCTGTGAGTGGTGACTGCCTATGGTGGCTGTGCTGACCTAGATTGTGTCAGGCTGGACCTGTTGCTGCTGCAGTACAGTGGGCACCCAACTACATCTGTCAACATCCAGCATCTGTCCAGCCTACTGTATATGATTAGATTAATTAACAGGCGGAATAATACCCCATGTTTGTGGACTGTTTACAGGTCAGTGACTGCTGGTTGATTGTGGTAAGCATGTTTATTGTTAACTAACACTACTAACACTGGGATGTCAGCTCCATGTATTTACATGGCATGTGTTTTGTCAACTTTTGTTTTCTTTCTTATTTTGCTTTGAAGCTGAGAGGCAGTTTGACTAGTTTGACATACAACGTACATATTAAATATGGCCAAGTGTAGAGTAAGCAGGAGACTGATTGTCAGGACTCTGTTGTACGCCACCCTCTGTGCAACAAGTGTACAATCTGCTTCACAAGAAAGGATGATGGCGTGACACTACATACTAGGAGCAGCTTAGTGAGCGTCTAGTGAGGACAGCAGAGATAGAAGTTGATATAGGGAGTGCTGGTGACTCATGGGAACAAAGAATTTCAAACTCAGCAATACATTAATAACTAATGACAAATATGTGGTTATTTTGAAATTTGCATTGAGTTATGTCATTGCGTCTGACCAAGTTAAGGATTGACTAAGGGCTGTTTGCTTTCAACTTATTTGAGGTTAACATATTTACTTTAAACTAGACATTGCTTTGGCGTAAATATTCTCCTTTAGAAAATGTGTGCTAACAATGTCTATATAAACTAAATTAGTGATTGATCACTGTTGATGACATTTAACAATTCCTGTATGATGGTCTGACATTTCTCTGTGTGGGATGGCAGCAACTGGGTGGGCAATAACACCACTGCTAACTGTACTTGTGTGACATCCAGGGTTGGTGGGGAGACTGTAGGGGTGACATCCAGAGAAGATTATCTTGGGTGTAAAGGGTGACCTCTGGGGGGGAAAAACTGTATGTAGGGGAGGGGGGACTGTATGGCCCACTGCTGATCTTTACTTCTGATTTTAACATTATGTACACATACAGTTCCCCAGTGGAGTGGATATTATCACCAATATGGGTTTCCAGTAACTAGTAGCTGTTATAGATTTACTGATGGGCCAAATACACACAAGAGGATACTTCAATGTCTGCCATTGTTCATTTACCCATGTGCACAGTGTGATTATGTTTCTGGGAAGATGCTATTGATGTTTACCAAAGTAGAGATTTGTGTAGAGTCAGTGAATCTGTACAGCTAACTGCTTTCATTGTTTGTGATTTGCTGTTACAATATTTATGGCCTTTTATTTTATTTCTTTGAATCGTTTGCCATGATCCTTACATTATTATTTTAAAACAAGTTTGAATATGCTTTTGGGTAAGATGTTTGACACTTTAGGGGCTTGACAGAAAAACTCTCCTTTCCTCCTCACCACCCCGCCCCCATCACCTACTCCTGATAAGGTATTGAGCCCCTAGAACATCCTGGACCCCCTTAGCATGCCCTGGAACCCCTAGAACATCCTGGAACCCCTAGAAAATCCTGGAACCCCTTAGCATGCCCTGGAACCCCTTAGCTCTCCCTGGAACCCCTAGAACATCCTGGAACCCCTTAGCACACCCTGGAACCCCTTCGCTCTCCCTTGAACCCCTAGAAAATCCTGGAACCCCTTAGCATGCCCTGGAACCCCTAGAATATCCTGGAGCCCCTTAGCACGCCCTGGAACCCCTAGAACATCCTGGAACCCCTTAGCACACCCTGGAACCACTTAGCACGCCCTAGAGCCCCTTAGCACGCCCTGGAACCCCTAGAACATCCTGGAACCCCTTAGCACACCCTAGAACACTTTATGGGCTTGACAGAAAAACTCTCCTTTCCACCTCACCACCCCGCCCCCATCACCTACTCCTGATAAGGTATTGAACCCCTAGAACCCCTTAGCATGCCCTGGAACCCCTTAGCACGCCCTTGAACCCCTAGAAAATCCTGGAACCCTTTAGCACGCCCTGGAACCCTTTAGCTCTCCCTGGAACCCCTAGAACACCCTGAACCCCTTAGCATGCCCTGGAACCCCTTAGCACACCCTGGATCCCCTTAGCTCTCCCTGGAACCTCTAAGAACTCCCTGGAGCCCATAAGAACGCCCTGGAACCCCTAAAAACACCCAGAGCCCCTTAGAACTCCCTGGAACCCCATAGCACTCCCTGGAACCCGTTAGCACGCCGCTAAGAACACCTGGAACCCCCTAAAATACCACTGAACCCTTAAAATACCTGGAACCCCTTTGAGCACCCTGGAACCTCTAGAACACCCTGGAACCCTTAGAACACCCGGAACCCATTAGAAGTGAGGATGTAGTATTACAGTTTCCCTGAACGAAGTGTGTACATGGTCAAGTCCTTGACAAAAGGCCTGTTTGTAGGTAATGTTGTTTGTGGTGTTTAGTGTAGAGCATGCTAAGTATTAAATATTGATTAGTGTTAATAAAAATGTAATTTTACAAGATAAAGAGGTGAATAGTTAAAGTCTTTAACTTAAAGATGTGTTTATGGTGTCTATTGAGCAGAAAAATACATTGTATATTTGTGATATGATAATAAACACATTTCGTTCCTTCCTCTTTTTATCCTATTGACCACCTGATGTAATTATGGTCAGGTAACATGTTCCAAGTCTCTTCTAACTTGCAGCTCACATGTGCTGCTGATTGGTTATTCGCTCCAATATTACAACAGTTGTGAAAATACACATTTGACTTCTGCCGATTATTATCATAACCATAATCATTCCCTATGTATAACACTATTGTGTGTCGCAGGCTTGTCCACATTACACCACAGTCTATTATGAGGATGAATGTCAGTGTATTTTTATAGCATGCAGGCTGTTTCCGGAATCAGAATCAATATGTGAAATGTTAGTCACGGTGTAATATCTGCTTAGTTTGCAGTCCTGACTGCAGTGCTGGGGCTGCCATAGGAAGAAGTGCACATCTGTTTCCACTAGAATTGGAAAGTTGCTGATCAATTATTCCAAGCAGAAATGCTAGTTGAGAACTGCAGAGGCTGTTCAGTGATGACAGTCATGTGACCTGTGGGAATAGACCAGTGTTATCATGGGAAGCCTGTGTTGGAAGTAGCTGCAGTGTAGTTGCTAGTCCATCAATGTCATCATGGTGATGGCCAGTTTTCTATGAAGTCTCATTATCAAATGATTTAATGATGAGGAAACGTATTCTCTTTAATCATTTCTAAACAAATTAGTGCCCTACATTACAGTACTTGTGCGGCTGTGCCGACTTGTGTAACTAAGGCTGACTCCTGTATCCATGCTCACCCCATCAGGCTCCACGAAACCATCTGATTACTCACATCAGGGATTTATCTACACTTTCCCACAAGCCGATATTTGGCCCCAGGTACACAGCATATGTTGCTGAAGATTCCCTCATTGGGATTTAAACACACAGGCCAAACACCGTCAGCAGTCACATCTTACAGTCAGGCCAACCACAGTCAGCAGTCACATCTTACAGTCAGGCCAACCCCTGTCAGCAGTCGCATCTTACATTCAGGCCAAACACCATCAGCAGTCACATCTTACAGTCCGGCCAACCACAGTCAGCAGTCACATCTTACAGTCAGGCCGACCACAGTCAGCAGTCACATCTTACATTCAGGCCAACCACAGTCAGCAGTCACATCTTCAGTCGGGCTAACCACAGTCAGCAGTCACATCTTACATTCAGGCCAACCACTTTTAGCAGTCACATCTTACATTCAGGCCAACCACAGTCAGCAGTCACATCTTACATTCAGGCCAACCACTGTCAGCAGTCACATCTTACATTCAGACCAACCACAGTCAGCAGTCACATCTTACAGTCAGGCCAACCACAGTCAGCAGTCACATCTTCAGTCGGGCTAACCACAGTCAGCAGTCACATCTTACATTCAGGCCATCCACAGTCAGCAGTCGCATCTTACATTCAGGCCAACCACTGTCAGCAGTCGCATCTTACATTCAGGCCAACCACTGTCAGCAGTCACATCTTACAGTCAGGCCAACCACAGTCAGCAGTCACATCTTCCGTCGGGCTAACCACAGTCAGCAGTCACATCTTACATTCAGGCCATCCACTGTCAGCAGTCGCATCTTACATTCAGGCCAACCACTGTCAGCAGTCACATCTTACAGTCAGGCCAACCACAGCCAACAGTCACATCTTACAGTCCGGCCAACCACCGTCATCAGTCACATCTTACAGTCAGGCCAACCACAGTCAGCAGTCACATCTTACAGTCAGGCCATCCACAGTCAGCCGTCACATCTTACAGTCAGGCCAACCACTGTCAGCAGTCACATCTTACAGTCAGGCCAACCACTGTCAGCAGTCACATCTTACAGTCAGGCCAACCACAGTCAGCAGTCACATCTTACAGTCAGGCCAACCACCCTCAGCAGTCACATCTTCAGTCGGGCTAACCACAGTCAGCAGTCACATCTTACGGTCAGACCAACCACAGTCAGCAGTCACATCTTACAGTCAGGCCAACCACTGTCAGCAGTCGCATCTTACATTCAGGCCAAACACCATCAGCAGTCACATCTTACAGTCCGACCAACCACAGTCAGCAGTCACATCTTCAGTCGGGCTATACACAGTCAGCAGTCACATCTTACATTCAGGCCATCAACAGTCAGCAGTCGCATCTTACATTCAGGCCAACCACTGTCAGCAGTCACATCTTACATTCAGGCCAACCACAGTCAGCAGTCACATCTTACAGTCATGCCAACCACAGTCAGCAGTCACATCTTCAGTCGGGCTAACCACAGTCAGCAGTCACATCTTACAGTCAGGCCATCCACAGTCAGCAGTCGCATCTTACATTCAGGCCAACCACTGTCAGCAGTCACATCTTACAGTCAGGCCAACCACAGCCAGCAGTCACATCTTACAGTCAGGCCAACCACCGTCAGCAGTCACATCTTACAGTCAGGCCAACCACTGTCAGCAGTCACATCTTACAGTCAGGCCAACCACCGTCAGCAGTCACATCTTACAGTCAGGCCAACCACAGTCAGCAGTCACATCTTACAGTCAGGCCATCCACAGTCAGCCGTCACATCTTACAGTCAGGCCAACCACTGTCAGCAGTCACATCTTACAGTCAGGCCA